TATGTGTGTATGTGTTTTGTGTATATGTGTGAATGTGTATGTGTGTATATGTGTATATGTGTATATGTGCATAACTGTGCATGTGTATATGTGTACATGTGTACATGGTGTACATGGTGTACATGTGTATATGTGTATTGTACATACACATGCACATACATTCATGCATACATTCTTGGCGTGATTCTGTTGTGGTAAGGTATGACGATGCCCGAGCAGAGGCAGTGAAAACCGATTTTCCGAGACAGAAATGCTTGAAGGTCGATGTAGATTTGTTTCATCTCATTGTGAGACTTTGTTTCTAAGCCATCATTTTTTCTGTGCAACAGAGGGTTCAATTTGATGATGAGTTTTTGTTAAGGCTCACGACACCAGAAACCATCGAAGAGTCACCAAAGATTGACAGAGCCCTTGTCTAAATGTTTGCCCAGGAAGCCTGGGCACATGAAGAAGAAATTATCAAAGATGCGACTTGTCCAGCTTTAGATGGTTGTACGTCATAGTCATAGTCATTTGTTTATCATTGTTTATCATTTATTTATCTCTCATTTATCTATAATTCTTTTATGTCGATCTATGTATGTACCTATTTCACCTAATTTCCCAATCTACATAAGCATCTGTCTATCCAGCCTATACAATTTCAACCTAATCACATCTAAATGTAACCTAATCCAGTCTCTTATCTAATCTAATTTAATCCAACCTAATCCAATCCAATCCAATCTATCTGATTTCATTTAATCTAACCTAAAAAATAAGCTAAATCTAATCTTAACCTAATCAGATCCAATCTAGTCTTTTCTTCTCTTGTATTATCTGATCGACCCTACCGATCCTATCTATCTTATCTATCTTGCCTACTTTTTTTTTAAAAAAATCTTGTCTATCCCATATATATATATATTTATTTATTTATATTATCATGAAATATATCAATATTTGATCTAGTCTATCTATATAATCCAGTTAATGCAATCTAATTTGTCTTATCCGTCTAACCTACAGTTTCTCTAACCTATCTGATCTATCTAATCTATCCAATTTCGCTAATCTTTATATCTAGTCTATCCAATTTATCAATCTATCTAATCTATCAAGTTTATCCAATTGATCTCATCTTTCAAAGCTATCTGCCCATCAATCTACCTATTTATTTATCTATCTATCTAACTAACTAACCAACCAACCGCCCAACTACCTAACTATCTAGCTAACCATCCGCCCATCCATGCATCCATCCATCATCTATCTTTCTGCCTGTGTCTGCCTGTGTCTGCCTGTGTCTGCCTGTGCCTGCCTGTTTGTATAAGTTATTTACAGTATAGACTGCTGTTTTTTTCCTTGGGTGTTCCCTGGGTGGTTGGACCAAATTTGATAGGGAATGCTGGCCATGTGAGACCGAACAAACTTTCAGCAAGTCCGTCTACTGACCTGGAGGAAAAAGGCGATTTCATGTTGCAGATCCGTTGCTGCCCTTGACCTCTCGCTTCTCACCCTCCCCTGCATCCAACACTGGTGCCAGGTGGGCTTGCAATGGTTTTTGTTGCGCTGCCCGGTGTTTTTTTTCTCCTCCTGCCTCCTATTGTGGGACATCGTTGGTGGCTGGAGGGGTTGTGGGCAGATTTTAAAGTCACAGTCTGAAGTGACGTCCAGTGTTGCGTATGGAAGCTGATGTCTTCAGCCCCTCCCGTCTCCAAGGCTGGCTTCACCACTGCACAGGTGGAAGATGGTGGGAGGATGTTGGGGCGCTGATTTAATGCCACTTCGATTGGAATGCTGGTTAGACTCGCTGACAGAATGTTTATTCCATGCCTGTGACTAGCTTGGGGGCCTAATTCCTGGACAAGTCTATACCATATGTAACCCCAATGTAACACCCACCTGCCATGATTCGAACATGATGTCAGGTCTCTGTCAGGTCAGGTGGCGCGCCTCTTCCCTGAGCTTTGTCCAAACCCCTCGCAGGTGGCCCAACTTCGGGAGCACTTTGTGAACGTGACCAAGATGCACTCCTGATGTGCAGGTAAATTTCAAATACAAGTATGAATCAGTATGAACATCTAATCTAGGGAATCTAGGGCCAAGGGATCATCTAGGCATACCTTGGGTTACCACCCCAAAAGTCGTAGGGACGCCTTTTTGCCAAACTCTCATACCTTCCACAGCTTTCAACGAATACATTTCGTGCCAAATTTCGTACAAAACCTTAAGGATCTTATGGTCTTGTGCTGCCAGCTCTTTCGAAGCAGGAAAATGCTGATAACTGAGGCTGAGGTTGAGGGATGTGGATGCCTTACCGATTCACAGGCTTGCCGTGCTTGGGGTCATCGAGTCGTATGAAGGGTTGATCCACAATTCCAAAAGGAGATGTAGAAGAGCCGCAGAGAATTGTTTTTTTTTTTGTGTGTGTGTGCCCTGGTACAAAAGAATAGATATGATACTGGAAAATATACTGGACAAAGTTGTACATTCATCAATGTAAAGTGCATGTTGTGCGTGTTTATTGTTCACATAGTTGAGCCCGAGCCCGAGCCCGAATAAACCCGAGAAATCCCAGAAGTGATTTGTCAGCTCTGCAGTCGCTGGAAGGTATCAGACATTGCCACCCTCGTAAAGGCAACAAGACCCCAGAAGAATGATTTGACGGAGGCAGGGAAGAATGGGTAAAATATGGGGAAGATATGGGAAGATTGATCACAGAACCAAGTGGAAGATTGCTAACCACGAAATCTAGCTTCTGCTAGCTGAAGTCCCTCTTGCTTTAGCAAGCTATTGGGGGGGCTGGAATCTCCAATCGCATGAAACTTCATAGTTAACTACCCCCCCTCCCCCCGGCTGGCTGGTTCACAAGCAGTTTTGCGGTGGCTCAATCCCTGCCGGGGACGCCGTCGGCATGTCGCCTCCGGCAGCAATATCGGGAGCATCCGCATCCTCAGCACCATTGGCATGGTCAATAATCACTAGCGCATGCTTCAAGTCACTGGTGCAGCGTTGCTCACTATCGGCATGTTCATGGCGAGCCCTAAAACATAGCTTCATGAAACATGTTTATTTTGAACCTTCTGATGTAGTTTCCAGATGTTTCCAGTCAGTTCTCACAATGGCAATGTCTTGGAAATAAAATTCCTTCATACAGATGAGTTTGCAAAGATCCTCCCGGAGCAATTGCACTGGCGCGCTTCTGCATTTTGTCCTCATGACATCCTACCTAGCGGCGCTTCCAACATTTCTTTTCTTGCAACTTCTAAGCCTTGAAAGGCCCACTCCCATGCTGAAGGTGGACCCTTGAATCTTCTTCCTGTTTAGTGACCGCCACGCTACTGAGTCGGAGTTTCCTCGTTATGTTCACGCCCGTGATATATTATGTAGTGTTCTCTTCATATGTGACATTGATCCCCCTTCAATGTGTCCCGTTCATTCTATACCAAGACATGGACAGCTTTGTCTTGGACATAATGTCCCTCAATACTTAATACAGATGAGTTTGCAAGTATACCGGGTGTTTTCATGCCAAGCTCCGAGCTAGCTTTCGTCACTTACCCCTAGGCCTCAAGTTTGGCAAGTTTGGACAATTTTGCATTGTATGGTATGGATGTGGACGTGGCAGCTGACCCTGACTTTCCTCCCATTCGCCTTCCTGAGCCTTGCTGCTTGTGAGCAGAGGCTTTAGAAAGTTTGGATGAAGCCAAGGCACTGAGCGTGTGGCAAAACAGCTTCAGACATTTCTTCAGACATTTGCAAAAGATCCAAACTGGTAGTTCTCACCTTTGAGTAGGTTGAATGAGGTGCAAGGAATACTCGATGAGACAGAGAACCGCTCACATCCTTGATATCAAAATCATTTCCACGTGAAACCCATGGGTGACTTCATGCCAAATTAGTTGATTCACTGCAACTGTAATTGCCCATTTCGAGGAAGCAATTGACTTTCCCAACTTTTTGCGGTTGATGGGCGTCATGGCCAAAAAGGCCCGGGAGTGTGCAAGATGTTGCAAGAGTGGATGTTTGTCGTTCTGTTTGCTTCCCAAACGAACAACCTTGAAACTGGGGGCCATTGTCGGGCCTGTTTGATAGCTGCTGTGCTGAATAGTTACACAGTGATTCCGGACGCTTGTGCTAAAGGGGAAGCTGGCACTTTGAGATGAGCGTTTTAGCTTCTGGGTTTGTGTGGCACCGCGTCTGTCCTGACTGAACCAAAGCAAACCATCATAACAAGCTCATTTTGTATCATTTTGTGCTCTGAGTTGCGCACGAATTTTAGATCGAACTTTGCCCACAGGAGTTGTCAAAGTTTGTTATGTATTGAGTCATGTATCGTAATATTGATTTCGAATCTGAGGCAGGGCAATCGTTTCACCAATTTCACCTCAGTTTCACCCTGTTGCCAAAGGCAGCTAAAGGATCACGCCGAGGCAGACAATCAAAAGCTTTCACACACTGATCACTGTTCCTCGGGCAATGCGACATGTGCCTCGAAAGAGATGGCTGCCCAAGCTCCCTATCAAGACAAAATCATCGAAAGTCCAGAAGGAAGCCAACAACCTCAACTTCCAATTTGTTGTTATCCAAAGTTCCCGCTTCCTTTCTAAAATTGTTTAAAAGACAACTTTGAATCATCTTCAAGCTCTTTGCTTTTGCCTGTCAGCAGTCCTTGCAGGGCCATCACCTTCGCGACCTGCCTCTGCAGATGCAGGCTTTTTGGAGCTGCACAATTTTGATGACGATCCGATCCAAGATGAAGAAATACTGTTTAAGAAATGGAAAGGTTTCTTTCAGTTTCTATTTTTTTCATTCCTTTTTTGTCCCCGATGAACAGCAGTGTTACTTTCGATTGACGCTTTATGGATTATTTCGCGTCCAGATTTATTTTCCTGAACCTCTTTCGGACTCTGTTTTGGACATTGTTGGGTCTGATTCGCTCGATTGTCACCCTCGAAGTCTGTCTCTCAAGTGCTTTTGGAGCACTGGATTCGATAGAGCGCTTTACATCTGGGGCGATGCTGCGCCTTTCCGTTTTGACCTTTTGGGTGGCATCTTCTTGGGCATCGCTAGATGATGTGCCACGTCGCAAACGAGAGCGAGCAAGAGACCCGAAATTGTTTGGCGGAACTGTCCGCCTCCGTTGTGTTGACGAAACCTGATGAAAAACTATGAAAAGTATTGAACAGTCCGGCACAATGAAGTGAGGCAAACTGTGAAACAAGTTGATGTTGCCCATGTGACCTCAAGCATTCAACATGGTGCGCATGGCTCCCACGCCCAAGAATATACTCAACTCAGTCAGAATCAGTCAACCATCTAAAATGTACAATGTAAAAGCTTTGGCACCTACCCAGGTTAGGTTTGACTTGAAGTGACACTGCGCCCGTCTCACTGCAGCTGGCAGCTCTGGCTTCGCTTGAGGCTCCAATAGAGGGCAGTCTTGTGGTGGACGATGACTGCACCCACTCCGACACATGTGCCCTGAATCTTGGAGGGACATGATGTGGGCGCTGTGCTTGGCATATCTAGGCACGGCTGTCCTTAGCTTCGTTTCTTCTCGATGTCCAGATTTGAATTTGTTTATGTCCTCTCTGAGGAACGCATTGCAGCTCAAACGTTGCCCCTTCAACTTCCAGCATGACTGCAGGGCTGCAGAGCAAGGTTGCCATTTTAAGCTCGTGGGCATTAAATTTGTATATGTAAATTCGGATTCTTGTTTTAAGCTGCAAAACTTGGAACCATATAAGCCATTGAGGTTGAGTTGGGGAACTCAATAATGTAAGTGCATTGGTGGCAGCTGACAGCAGGTATTTCCCCATCAGGTTTGTGGGTTGTGATTAGTGATTTTGTGATCAACAATATCCCAAGCTTGGAGCTTTACTCGAAACTTCAATAGACCATCAACGCTATTTGATGGATCATAGCGTCATGACTCGACGCACTGTTCCGATATCCTGCTAAGCCAACACACAGACTTGACGGAAAACATGCAGGATGTAAAGGAGACGATGCTGAACATGTCTGCAGAGATCGACAGCTTGAACGACAAGCTGGTAGTGTTAGTCGCCAAAGCAGTGCGCACTTCATTCAAGGACCATATCACGGCGCTCTCACAGTATTCATATACAACAGTGCAAAGCTCTTTTTGCATACCAGCATACACATATCTATACATATGTATACATATTTGCACATATCTATGCGTGCCTATAGATATCTATAGATATCTATAGATATCTATACATATCTATACATATCTATACATATCTATACATATCTATACATATCTATACATATCTATACATATCTATACATATCTCACTCTCTCTCTCTCCCTCTCCCTCTCCCTCTCCCTATCTATCTATCTATCTATCTATCTATCTATCTATCTATCGGTCGGCGCATCGCTTGTACCTCCAAAATTTTCTCGCTTGTACCTCCGTTTTTTTTCTCGCTTCTACCTCGCTTATAGTTACCACCACTACTACTACTACGACGACGACGACGACTACTACTACTACCATGTACCAGACTAATTACCTTAGTATATATCAATATATCTATATATATATATATATATATCTATATATATGTATATATATATATATTTCTAAATATATATATGTGTATATATATATATATTTCTATATATATATATATCTATATGTAAAATTATATATATACATACATACATACATACATACATACATACATACATACATATAGTTAAGAAATACATATGTATATATATATTCTCGGGATATAGTTAATTGTTTCTGTAGACACAACTTTGAATTGGGGGGCCACGATGGCATTGTGGAACGCAGGGGGGGGAAGTTTAAATAAAGAGTCAGATTTTAGATCATGGCATTGTGGAAGGCAAGGGGGAGGAAAGTTTAAATAAAGAATTAGATTTTAGATGATGGCATTTGTGGAAGGCAAGGGGGGGGAAGTTTAAATAAAGAGCCAGATTTTAGATCATGGCATTGTGGAAGGCAAGGGGGGGGGAAAGTTTAAATAAAGAATTAGATTTTAGATGATGGCATTGTGGAGGCAGGGGCGGGGGAAAAGTTTAAATAAAGAGTTAGATTTTTAGATGATGGCATGTGGAAGGCAAGGGGGGAGGGAAGTTTAAATAAAGAGTCGGATTTTAGATCATGGCATTGTGGAAGGCAAGGGGGAGAAAGTTTAAATAAAAGAATTAGATTTTAGATGATGGCATTTGTGGAAGGCAGGGGGGGAAGTTTAAATAAAGAATAGATTTTAGATGATGGCATTGGGAAGGCAAGGGGGGGGGAAGTTTAGATAAAGAGGTTAGGTTTTAGATGATGGCATTGTGGAAGGCAAGGGGGGGAAGTTTAAATAAAGAATTAGTTTTTAGATGATGGCATTTGTGGAAGGCAAGGGGGGGGAAGTTTAAATAAAGAGCCAGATTTTAGATCATGGCATTGTGGAAGGCAAGGGGGAGGAAAGTTTAAATAAAGAGTTAGATTTTAGATGATGGCATTGTGGAAGGCAAGGGGGGGAAAAGTTTAAATAAAGAGTGAGGTTTTAGATGATGGCATTGAGGAAGGCAAGGGGTGGGAAGTTTAAATAAAGAGTTAGATTTTAGATGATGGCATTGTGGAAGGCAAGGGGGGGGAACTTTAAATAAAGAGTTAGGTTTTAGATGATGGCATGGTGGAAGGCAAGGTGAGGGGAAGTTTAAATAAAGAGGTAGATCCTAGATGATGGCATTGTGGAAGGCAAGGGGGGGTAAAGTTTAAATAAAGAGTTCGATTTTTAAATGATGGCATTGTGGAAGGCAAGGGGGGGAAGTTTAAATAAAGAGGTAGATTTTAGATGATGGCATTGAGGAAGGCAAGGGGGGGAAAAGTTTAAATAAAGAGTTAGATTTTAGAGGATGGCATTGAGGAAGGCAAGGGGGGAAAAGTTTAAATAAAGAGTTAGATTTTAGATGATGGCATTGTGGAAGGCAAGGGGGGGAAGCTTAAATCAAGAGTCGGATTTTAGATCATGGCATTGTGGAAGGCAAGGGGGAGGAAAGTTTAAATAAAGAATTAGATTTTAGATGGTGGCATTTGTGGAAGGCAAGGGGGGGGAAGTTTAAATAAAGAGTTAGATTTTAGATGATGGCATTGTGGAAGGCAAGGCGGGGGAAAGTTTAAATAAAGAATTAGATTTTAGATGATGGCATTTGTGGAAGGCAAGGGGGGGGAAGTTTAAATAAAGAGTTACTGTAGATTTTAGATGATGGCATTGTGGAAGGCAAGGCGGGGGAAAGTTTAAATAAGGAGGTAGATTTTAGATAATGGCATTGTGGAAGGCAAGGGGGGGAAGTTTAAATAAAAGAGTTAGATTTTTAATGGCATTTGGGAAGGCAAGGGGGGGGAAAGTTTAAATAAAGAGTTAGATTTTAGATGATGGCATGAGGAAGGCAAGGGGGGGAAGGAGTTAGAGTTTAGATGATGGGTGGAAGGCAAAGTTTAGATAAAGAGTTAGATTTTAGATGATGGCATTGTGGAAGGCAAGGGGGGGAAGTTTAAATAAAGAGTTAGATTTTAGATGATGGCATTGTGGAAGGCAAGGGGGGGAAGAGTTTAAATAAAGAGTTAGATTTTAGATGATGGCATTGAGGAAGGCAAGGGGGGGGAAGTTTAAATAAAGAGTTAGATTTTAGATGATGGCATTGTGGAAGGCAAGGGGGGGAAGTTTAAATAAAGAGTCGGATTTTAGATCATGGCATTGTGGAAGGCAAGGGGGAGGAAAGTTTAAATAAAGAATTAGATTTTAGATGATGGCATTTGTGGAAGGCAAGGGAGGGGAAAGTTTAAATAAAGATTCAGATTTTAGTTCATGGCATTGAGGAAGGCAAGGGGGGGGGAAGTTTAAATAAAGAGTTAGGTTTTAGATGATGGCATTGTGGAAGGCAAGGGGGGGAAGTTTAAATACAGATTCAGATTTTAGTTCATGGCATTGTGGAAGGCAAGGGGGGGAAGTTTAAACAAAGAGTTTGATTTTAGATGATGGCATTGTGGAAGGCAAGGGGGGATGAAGTTTAAATAACAAGCCAGGTTTAAGATCATGGCATTGTGGAAAGAAATAGCGTAGACATTTTCAATCAAAAGCAAGATTGTAGAGTAGGCGCAAGTGGGAAAGTAGTGAGGCGTAAGTGAGAAGGAAGTGGAGGCGCAAGTGAGTAGGTCGGAGGCGCAAGTGAGTAGGTCGGAGGCGTAAGTGAGTAGTGGAGGCGCAAGTGAGTAGGAGGTACAAGTGAGAAAATTTTAGAGGTACAAGTGAGTAATATACCCTATCTATCTATCTATCTATCTATCTATCTATCTATATATATCTATATCTATATCTATATCTATACATGTCTGTACATATCTTTACATATCTATACATATGTATATATCTATACATATCTATACATATGTATATGTATATATATATATGTGGTCTCGTGTTCCGTGTTCCTACCCCCGCCCAATGGTATGGGTCCCCAGGTAGCACCCCCTTCCCTTCTATTTGCAAGCTATTGGCAGCATTTCTGAGGTCCAGCCTCGTATTTTCTAGGTCTTTGCAGCATTTCTGACTACCAGCATCCCATTTACTAGGTACATGCTACCTTTTAGACGACCTACGTAGCACACATACTCCCTCAAAGTACCTACGTGCTACCTATTGTCTTTTATATACATGTGCTATGTATCTACTTCCTATTTCCTACATGCATATATACATGCATACATATATATATATGCACATATTATACATACATATACACATACACACATATATATATATATACACATACACACACATATATATATATATATTTACACACGCACACACATATATATATATACACACAGATGTATATATATATATATTTACCACACACACACACACACATATATATATATAAATACATATGTATTTATATGCACACACGCACCCATTTTTTTTAAAATATACATGTATACACATGTATATATTTGTATACACATACATATACACACGCACACATATATACATACGCAATACCACATCACCACCACACCACCGGAGGGGGAGGGGGACAGCACCACACCCCCACCACACCACATGGGGGGAGGGGGCAGAAGTACGACACCCCCACCACACCACGGGGGGGGAGGGGTACAGTACTATAACTAACCCATGACCATGGCCGGGGGGGGAAGGGGGTTGGAACGCTGGACCATATATATATATATTCATATTGATCTTTTTCACCTGCATGTACACACACACAAATGTAGGTATAGAGAGAGATATATATGCATACATATATATGTATACACAAATTGTTTGTTTGATGTTCTACATATTCCAAGTCAGTTTGTTAGACATGCAAATCATTTCACTTTTCGTTATTCGTTTGGTTTGTTTTGCCCCTGTATCTTGAATTGAAGCTCTGGAGTTTAATCTGGAGTTTAAGTCCCATGAGTTTCAAACGGAAACGAAATATTAATCCACCCCCAGACGCTTGTTGTGGGCCACCAATGTGAGGACGACTTCAGCCGCCTGGTGCGTGCCACCTCGAGTGCTGCTGCTGTCTTGGAAATCGTAGCGCCGAGGCCTTGTGACATGTTTTTCTTTTTTCCAGGGGTAAATGTAGAGAGAGAGAGACACACGCACACAAACACAAACACAAACACACACACACAGATATAGATAGATAGATAGATAGATAGGTAGATAGGTAGATAGGTAGATAGGTAGATAGGTAGATAGGTAGATAGGTAGATAGGTAGATAGATAGGTAGATAGATAGATAGATAGATAGATAGGTACATACACATACGCGCTAATATACTGTACACATTATACCGACATTTAATGTGAAAAAATGTGATGTGATGTGATGTGATGTGTGCATGATGCGCGCAAACAAACAAATAAATGAGGAAACACAAGCGAATAAATACATATTTGTGAGACAGATGCACATACATGCAAACGGTTTTTTCCTGGAGTGTAATTGCACTTCACCCCAAAAGGCGCATTGTATCATAGCCGCGTACTTGTAGCATCGCGGCTCAGAGAAAAAGAGTTTCAGCTGCTAGCTTTCCGGATTTTAGGCTTATCAGTCCATTTGGGTTTATAGGCATAACTGCAATAACCTTTGCTGAAGCCTGAAAATACAGGTTACCAGGGATCAGCCGTAGTCTCTATAGCGATGGAGAGACCACCTGGTGGTGTTTCTGGTACGGGCGCCTTCAAGATTCGGGCAGTGCAAGGCCACAGTCCAAAGCCAATCACAAAGGCTTCCGCATCGGATACCTTCAATGCAACCATGGTCTATTCCAATTCTGGTGCAGGTGCGTTGTCAAAGGTTTCCTTAACTGGAAAGCCCATTGTGACTGCTGATGAGACTCCTGCTGTGATTTATCATCGCATTTATCATCGCACAACCAAGGCAAACTGGAAGGGGATGATCAAAAGCGGATTTATTCCGGGAGGTGGTGAAAAAGTTTCTTCTGGTCGCGCCCGCAGCTACTTTTCTGAAGTGAGGGTCACGGAAGGTTCTTATGTGTCTGTGCTGCCTGCTGAAAGACCAATTGAGATTTGTGTCGCTGTGGCTGAGGCTGTTACGGCTGGTGCCATTTTCATCAAGACCGCATCAGAAGGCAATTTGACTCGGGATGCTGTGCCTGCACAATTTGTTTTGTCAGTTGACGACACCGAGCGCAAGGTGAATCTTTATAGACGCCACCAGGAAATCATCGAGACTGCGAAGAGCAGCGGAGTTGGCACTGGTCTTCATCAGCGGGTGGAACAGATTGAGGCCAAGATTTCTTCCTCTTCTGCTGCAAGCACCGTGGCTGCATCTTCCGACAGACCTCCAGTTGAGAAGTTTGCAGGAAAAGTGAAGCCGCCGCCGCCAATCAAGTGGCCTGGCTATGCTGACGCTGTGCGAGCACTTCCACAAGTGCCGAAGGCAGAAGCCCGAAAGCTGTTGCAAAGCTTGCCGAGAAGTTTGCAAGTGATCAACCAGCACAGAAGAAGGCCGCCCTAACAAGCGAGCCCAAACCTGTGCCAGCAGCATCATCAGCAGCGAAGTTTTTGGAGCCAGTTCCGAAAGCACCTCCTCTTCCGAAGCCGGTGCCAAAGGAGCCATCATACCCTCCGCCGGGTGCAACAACCTCCAAAACATCGGCAAAGCCCAAAGCCTTGGTCAAGAAAGCACAACCGAAGGGGAAAGATTGATCAAGTGTCAAGGTGGAGTCAGTGAAGATCGAAGCAAGCACCTGCTCAAGATGTTTTGCCGAAATCTTCACGGGACAGATTGAGTGCGATATCTGTGGACTCATGCTGGACGCTCCAAAAGCCAACCGCACCAAGATCGCCGAGCGAAGAAAGGAAGAACTCAGACAGCGTGGGCTCTACTATGATTTCAAGGGTGAGTTCCTCCAGCAGATTACCAACAGCCACTCGGGCTTCTGGATGTCAGGCACGTGGCAGTGCAAGTCCTGAGGCAGATCTTCTCGGCCGTTCGAAATCGAGGTTCGAGAGGGCGGTGAGTCTTGGGTTCAAGTCGGTGCTGGACAGGTTCTCAAAAGATGCAACTTTTGCCGGGAGCTTGCTCAATGAAGGTTTTGGCGAGTATGACTGCGAGCGCTATGACTGCGAACGCTACAACTTGCTGAAGTCAGCTCATCTTCCGAAGCACGACAGGACAAGAGCTCAGGTCCGTTTTGGCACATCGGAGTCGTCGCAGCTTGAGCACAATGCCATGTGCTTGGCCTACCTTGACATTGCATCTGAGGAGGATGCCCCAGACAGGTTCCGATACCTTGGGCAGCCCTGGTTGTACATGTTCAAAATTGAAATCTATGCAGAAGAAGAATACATTGAGTACTTGGAAAGGAACCCAGCTCACAACCTTCTTTTGTCCAACACAGGGGTTGATGCCGCGGCAGTTCATGATGCAGAGCGACATTTGAAACACACCAAAGACCAAAACATTGACATCTTCATCAAAAAAATTGAGGAGAAGAAAAAACAGTCTCGACGAGCCAAAGAGAAGAATGAGGCGAAGCGTAAAGCTGAGCAGACGGCTGCATTTGGACAAGCTCCATCAAAGAAAGGCACTTCTAATCCGGTTGCCCGAACAACTCCAAGTGCAGAAGCTGCATCTTCATCTATGTCGGCACGTGCTTGGCTTGATGCACCACAGTCTGCCAGTGGAGATCGTGAGTACACTGGGAAGTGGGTGAAGTGGCATGGCAAATGGCACAAAAAGGTCATCCGCTGTGGGCGCACTGAATGGGAGAGTCCCAAGCCAGCACGTTGCAGCCGACATTATTTTTGTAGAATAGCCGCATTTCTTTTGGTGTCCCTCAGTGCAATTTGAGTCATGGCAGCGACGGCTGTGTATAAGGATTATAAAGCACATGCCACAAAGCCAGCCTCGCTGCGGTGGCTCACCTGAGGAGGGTGTAATTGCACCCCACCCCGAAAAGGCACCTTGTATCATAGCTACATACTTGTAGCATCGCGGCTCAGAGAAAAGAGTTTGAATTGCTAGCTGACCGGATTTTAGGTTTATCAGCCCATTTGGGTTTATAGGCATAACCCCTTGCTGAAGCCTGAAAACGCATGGAGTGAATCTAGCATTGGGTTGTTTACTTTCGATTCATGCCATGCAATAGCCAGTGTTTCTGTGACTTAGGGACTTAGGGTAGTGATTCAGTGCTGTTTCCGAGCTACAATGTTATCAAATTACCAAAGGTTCCCAGCGATCTGGCCCCGCTTCTGGATGTTTCCAGACAAACGGCTGCAGGTTCATTACCTTGACCAACAAGACTAGCGCTTCTTTGCAAGATGCAGGCCGGTCATGGCCGGTCCATGCCTGGGCCGGATTGGAAGATTTTGCAGAGGGTTAAATCTTTTCCTAGGTCTTAGAGGTTGGCCTTGTGGGTGCAGTGCAACTCTCTTTGGTCAAAGTGCCGTCAATGGCCTAATGTTGTGAGACTGAACGTATCTGAAAACTTTGAGATGTGAGCACCTCTGCTGGTTTGCCCTTCAGAGCCACCATCCCGCGAGGCATTGACGAATTTGGCGGCAAAGCAAAAGAAGAGCAGACCTCTTTGCTGAGAATGCAGAGGTTTTTGGTTGACCATGCTGGCGAGGTTCTCACGAACATTGCCCTTGGGTTTGCACTCAGTGCTGGGAGAAACAAGGACAGGTTGTATCAGAAGATTGTAGCTGGCATGCGATAAGTGACAGTGATGACAACTGGAAATAAAAGGTGGCATGCAATCGCAAAAATGACTTGTGGTACCTCCATTCGACGGTCAGTTTTCGGCCGGCTGCACAAGGTTAGATTATATTAGATTGATGCGGGGGGGGCATGCGGTGAGCGGAGCATTGATGGCCAAAGTCGATGAAAATCACCAGAACCCAGGCCGCTGCTCGGAGCAACGACGGTGATACCGGCTGCTTGGTAGCAGTGCTGGCAGTCAGGTCATGGTCTTTCCAAGACTTTCGAAATTCATGACCTTGAGATGCCAGCACTTTGCTCCTGAAAGCTTGCTACGAGTGCTACGAGTTTTTTTCTTCTCGGACCCTTGGAGAGTTCACATTATGTTAAAAATTATGTTAAAATTGTTAATGCAGTTAAGATCCCTCAACACTGTGCCAAGGATTCGCCACAAAGGTGAACACGGCAGCCCAAGAGGCTGGACATTGGATCCAGGCAAGCTTGGCAGCAGGCTGCAGTGGATCCATTTCTGCTAGGCTGCTAAAAGATTCGAACGATTTGAAAGATTCGGGAAAGTCCTGATTTGATTGTGATTCTCACAAAGTTGGGATTCAATAACATTTCGATGCTCTCCCATTGGGGGTCTTGGCTCGGCTGGCATGAACATGGAAGTCGTTCTTCGCACGCATGCAACCTCAGGGTGTGCTTAAAGTCGCTTGGTCCACTGCAACAGATCAGCTGCCACGCATCAATGCTTTGGTGAAGAATGAGATTGTGCCCCTTGGATCCCTTGGTATTTTTTTCCTTGTTTCTGTGTGCATTTTTGATGACCATCATAGGCAAAGAGGATGGATTTGGATGGTCGGCGAAGGTTTGTGCAGTCGTTTTTGTGAGAGCCATGCTTCAGCGTGTCCTTCACATAAGGAATACGTCTGACATGGTGACCGAGGCTTCGTGCCGGGATATGGTCCCGCTCAGGATTTTACATCACATTTTCATGTTTTCTTGATGACAGATGGGGAACGATAGGAGTCTAATGGTAGGACGTATTTTGCAACGGACCGTGCTTTCCAAAAACGTTCCAGCTTATTCTAACTTTCTGCTTACTGTCCATTCATTCGGCAGCTTTTGGCCCTTGCATGCCTTTGCTACTTTGTCGTTGAGAATGGGCATGTGGAGATGACGATTTCAGCTGTGCTTTCGTCGAGAGGCAGCCTGCGCCGCGGATACTGCCACCAGTATCGCTTCCCTTACAACACTCTACGCCGCTTTGCCATGATAGCCTGTACACCATGGACTGTACTTGACTCTTCCTGTATACAATGACATAGTGACATAGCATCAAAGACATGAGACATGCACGTGGAGCAGTGGCAAGGCACAAATTGTGCAAGCTGCCACAGACTGTGATGCACCTTGGCAAGAAGAAAGTGTCACTCAAATTGACTGAACGAAGGAAAGATAATGAAAGAGAGCATGGCGAAAGCTTGATTCCAAACCTTAGACAGTTCCATGAACTTAGCAAACAAACCTACAATGCATGTATGTGTTCGGCATTTGCTGAGCTGGATCGCAGTTTGTCGAGCAGTCCACAGTACTGGATCATTCAAACCGTCTGAAACCGAGACTTATACTCTTGCGGAATTTTTGTCCAGGTTCGCAACAAGACCTTGTTCAGCATTGCGGATTGCGAGTGGGAGCCACAGCACTTTGTGGACACTCATATGTTTGCGCTGATGCACTGACGTTTGGTTTTCTTTGTGAGCTAGTTTTGACTTATGATAACACAAAGGCGATCTGAAACTGCCAAAGTAGCTGACGAACAAGCAAAGGGTTGGTGCAGCAAGAAACCAATCTGCATCGTAGGCTGGATGATGAGAAAACGAAAGATGGATATAGAGCATGGTAAAAAGATGAACATGATAAGACACGCGCAAACAATCACAGAGAGACACAGAGAGAGAGAGAGAGATACACACGCACAAATATATGTATGTAATATGTATAGACAGATATGTGTTGCCCATGTACCGTCATATATCTTGTGCACTCGCGCGCGCACACACACACGCATACATATCTGACACAATTGTACACATGCAGACATGCATAGTATATCATCTATGACACAACTTCCCGGAGAAACACAAGCTGGATAGTTTTTCCACTTTTGTTGTTTGAGGTCAAGCGCTCTTTCTGTTCAGACAGGCTAGCCGTCCGGTGCTGTCAGTTTCCTCAATTTTACCCGCACTTTGATTCATTCAAGAGATGGAGTTGCATTTCCCCTATGGATTTTGAGAAGTGGTTTTGTGCCGAGTATTTCTGTACCCTTAACGGCGTTTGTGCCCTGTGTTGCGCACCGCATGTAAGGGCGGTGCAGCCGGATGGACCACATGACTGATATGATGCACATGGAAAAAGGGTTTTGAGGATTGATCTATGAATCTACGAACTGGTGACAAGTTAGGACCAGTTGAGACAAGTTGAGAAATTAAGCTTAAACCGTTTTGACCACTGTCTTCGAAGGAAACGGGATGAGAAAGCTCACAATGGACACAATGGACATTAGAAGAGTTAAGCCTTCTGGGGACCAATCATACCAGCGCCTTTGCAGGCATCAGCTTGGTCATCAAAGAAGGAGCAAGGATGATGCACACCTGCTATGGAAGAGACTGGAGTTGTGCGGAATCCATGGCATCGGCCAGTCATGATCTTTTGCAGGCGGGAGCAGTCACCCAAGAATTGCTTCGATAATCCTTGGCCTATCTGACCTATCTCTTGGAACTATTGAATTTCTCTTCAAAGAAGGGCTGAAACTTTGTCTTCGTTTCCCTGGCGTATGCTAGGCTTGGAGGATCTTGGAGGGTTCATATACAGCAATTTGTGCTAACTGCTAGCCGCTGCTAACCGCTTTTCAGAACACCTTCCTGGGAAGTCTGCAGCTCTATGCAGCTCTAGACTCTAGTTGCTCTTGCGATTTCTTCTCTCAAGCACCTTATTGATCCTTATTGGAACACCTCCATGATTTGCGGTGGGATGCCTTGAGGCCTACAATTCCCTCGTGGTGTTGGGCGATTCTTGTGTCTTGGACTTCAGCGCTTTTTATCCAGAACTCAGAGTCAGCGCATATAGAGGCACCGGGTTTGTTTCTTGTTTGTTTCTTGGGGGTTTGGAGAACAGCATCGAAAATCGAACCCGAAAGTGCGATCCCCTTTGACTATGATTGCGGAACAAACCACGGTATGCTCTACGGCGACTCTACGGAGCATTGAGAGTAGCAGAGGCAAAACTGGATCAGCATCACAACAGCAAACTTTTTGAGACTGTGAAAAGTGAGGCCCGTGTTGTCCAGGATACTGTTGTAGGATTCCTGTAGGGTTGTAGGAATGGGATGGGATGGAATGGACACGTGTCAGGACAGAAAGTCTTTCTTTCCAAGACGGCCCCCAGAACAGAAACTGCTTGTTCCCTTCATCCTGGGATCTTAATTGAGCGAAATGGCTGCAACCGCATCTTGCGCTAGTTTATTTAATACCATTTTGTGGTGATAATGGTGATGTGTGCACTGAGGTAAATCTAGTGACCCAATTGCCCTGGCCGTTTGCGAGAGTGAAGCATTCCAGTTGTCGTCCAACCTGGGCGTCGCTGCTGGGTATATTTGGAAGTCAGCAGACGTTTGTGCATCTTCTTGCAATTTGGCGAAGCCGCAATAGCCGGCGCCAAGACCAAGACTCTGAAGCCGCTCAAGCTGGTGCCGCCAGCCGGTCGACTTGGCAGTTTCTACCCTGAAATTGGGAGACAAGTTGAGTCGGTCAATTTTACAGTAACTGCTACTGCTGGATTCCATTGGATTCGCTTGTTGAAGGCCCATCAGTCGTTTGACGCCCCATTGTGAAAAATTACAACAGAAAAGGCTGCTGTGCCACTGGAAACGCAGGAGGCTAGAATGGAAGCAGTCGATCCAGTGCGCACGCTCCTGTGTGACAGATTTGATCTGAAGCCAAAGCAGTATCATTCTCGATGTTCTGCATATACTGTAGATTTAAAATGATTTAAAATGATTTAAAATGATTTAAAATGATTTAAAATGATTTAAAATGATTTAAACACATACACTACTATATATATATCTCTACGTACTATGTGTGCATTTAGGTCTGTATGACAGTTTCCTTTCTCTCCCACTCGCTGCAGCAGCCGACGTTCATGTCCAGTGCATTTCTGTGCTGACCACCTATGTGGGCACTGTTAAAGCAACTTCACAGATTGACAGGTGATGAAGGAAGCAGCAGAGCTGCCACTTGGCAAAGAGTGGATGTTTGTCATGTCATTGTGAAAGGTGTGGAAGAGTCCGACTACAGAGTCCTTTGTTTGGCGCGCGCATTTAATGCTCCTGACGTCCATTGACGTCCTGTTCTGGTTTGAGGGTCAGAACGCCTTGAAACCTTACAGGAGTTGTCGTTGCTTCGTGCGCGGTTCGACCTGCGCTTGGCCCCTAGATGCCCTTAGTGCCTTAGCAGGCACATTCAATCCCAAGCCCGCCCATTTGATTCAAAGCACTTGCCAAGGTCACTCGTGACTGTCAACAGGGCCAACTGAGAATGTGCGAATGTGTTTAGCTTGACTCAAAAAGATCAAAAAGACTACGATGTCAGCAGGTGCACGATGGCACCCATACACAATTCCATGGCACGCAGCGCTTGCCAGAATCGGAGTTTCACATGTTTCACTGTCTTATCGAAGTGGCCCAAGGCCTTGATGCTGAGCGCCTTCGGACTCAAGCTGCCAGTGAGGAGCTCCTTGGCTTCCCAGGATTCCCAGGTTCAGTGACATGAAGTCTGATGAAGTCTGTGTATTCTTGAAATTTATGAATCTCATGGTGGGTCGTTTTTGCGTTTTATCATGGATGCTCTGTGTCTTGACTCAGTGTTTTGCATGATCCTTGCTGCGCCTGGTTGTGATTAAACATGAGATAACATGAGTTAGATCCCCCCATGCAGTTCTTCTACAAAATCAGGAGCCTTGTGGGTCCGACAACGCCATGCAGTTGAACAGCACTAGGGGGCAGTTTAATAGCATGTGCAAACAAGGGCTTTTGATTTTGTAGGGTTGCCATTTTAAAGGGAGGTACAAGATGGGTGGAAGTGTATGTTTAGAGGTTTTGGGATATGTCAACATTAATACACGCGCATAGCGCTGAAAATAGCGCGACTAACACCTGCTATGTATCTGCGACTATTGCTTTCAAAACCCCAGCATTACCGCATCCCCAATTTTGTAAAGAATTAACAGTTTGGGGTCTGATAAGCCATGAGCATTGCATACCTGTACCCATTTTGCAGAACTGCCCAGCTTCTCCATCCACGGTTGCATTTTTAAAGGTACTGTGTCTTCATTCTTGATGTTCTTCGATTTTCCTTGTTCATACTTTTTTGAATTTTCGATATGCTTCGATGGTTCAGGTTTTCTTTCTCTTTTCTTGGGGCCTTTGCCACACTATGGGGGGAACATGAATGAGACAACAGCAAACATGAACTTGAACCGTTTCTATCCTTTGCCCAAACAGCACCAATTTCAACATTTCAAGCTGAAAACATCGACCCAGGAGTTTTGTGGACAAACTAGAACCAGAACATAATCTAAGACTAATCTAAGATTGATGTTCGTTTGGCTGGTTTGAAGACTGAAGCATGCTGAAACACATATCTACATGCTGATTCAATCTAGTCAAATGATGTTTGTTTGATGTGTGACGAAGGTGCTGGATCTCAAAAAGATCCGGCATTTGTAGACTGTGGCCGAATGGCTATCCGCAAAACAATAAAGGGGTAAGCTTGGGCCCTTTGCTCACTACTCCAACCAAAGCATGGCATACCACCCACAAAAAAATCAATGCTTATTTTTGGTATAATTTGGGTGTTTCACCGTGGTGTTGTATTTTTTGCGTGTTTTTTCAATGTCTTCAGCACCACACTGTGTCACTGCAAGATCAGAAACATTGGCCCAGGGCCACAAGAGCCTCTACAAAATTCAGAAACATTAACCAAACCCTACAGTTCCTGAACGTACTGCCATTCAATGCCATTCAGGCTAAAAGACTTTTTTGAGGATTGACACAAATCTAATGGTGGGGAAAAGTTGGCGCTTATTTTTTTTGTTGGTGCGGGGGCCTATACCAGCGGGAGCATAACATACCAAGCCCGTAAGAGCAGA